TGACAATTCCAGACCTGAAGACGCCTATTGGCTGGATTGGCAAAGAGCTGCCGGTGGATCGGAGTCAAGCGAAACTCCCTCGCCAGAGCTCTTTGGTAATGGATATCAGCACCCTGAAGCATTCTGCGACCAACAGCCATATCCACACCAACTATATTACCCAGAGGAGGCGCAATATTATCCAATTGAAGGTTCTAGAGAATCGCCAAATATGGAGCTGCAGGAACAACGTTACTACAGATATGGTCAAGACTGTGTTCAGAATAATATGGACATGCAGTCGTGGAACTATTCTGACTGTGCGTTCGCGTCGCATTTTGATGTCCAACACTCGCAAGCAGTGAACTCATTCGGTAGTCTCTTATAATGTTCCTCGATAATTATGTACATAGTGTATTGTAAATTGTAAATAATTTGTTATCGTCAAATATATTGTACATTCCATATAGCTTTATTACACCGTCAATGCGGGGAAATACTTTTCATTTATTGTTTCATCAGACGATTTGGCTCATATAAATAAAACAATGTTTTTTTTTTTACAAAATCTTCTATTTATTGTATATAAAAATTACATTAAAATTGTCAATTTAACATATCTTTTTATTTCTAACGATAAAATTGGTCACTACAAAATAGTCCATAAAGCGATCACACATTGAATTTATATATGCATTTGCAATCGTGAAATATTTCAAAAACAAAAATACATCATAATATTATATCATCAAAATAATATGAGTTTAAATTGTTTAACAACAATGCAGCATCTGATTACGAGATTATTGTTTGCCAATACTTCAGCACTTGTGGGAGTGTCATTTATAAAGCCTAATAGCCTTTGCTTCCATTTTAAATGATACATTCGCAACATAACTGCTTCCGAATACTTTTTTACTTTACAAATTTAGTAATCATTGATACACAATCAAAAACATTATTTCTAAGACAAAGGTTTGTTTCTTTATAACATTAGATTAATGAATAAAAATCTTTTTACCACGTTTACTTATCACCTGATCATCAGTATTGCTAAATACTATTTTAACGCACAATTTATCCTTATTTTATGTAAACAATTACATTTTTCATTGTGTACACCACATTTGGGCCAAAAGACGTGAATAGTAAAAATCTTACTTCATTTTATCTCAAAACGTGTATTACTTTACGTCCTTAGCAATAGGCCCATTTATAAACTTAATTAAAATGTTTTTAATGTTTTATATTCGTAAAGTTATTATTCAAAGGGTTGAGGAGAGCACAGCACGCACTATCACAGCAGTCGGCAACCCGAAACAGTGTCCCTAACCCCAATTAGATTCCAAAGAAAAAACACGACCACACTTAAGGTTAGAGACACAAACAGCCCCATGTTGGGCGCCATAATAATAAGGCCACAAATAAATTTTAACACGAAGCAATGCCTTCTTGTTGCAATTTACACTTCAATAACAAAATACACTAGCACGGAAACCGCTAGAACAATATTTCGGACGCAAGTGTTTACGGTTAAACAAGAGATTGTGATATCCTTAAATACGTAACTCTATACCTAAAATGCCAGATTTAAAGAGTCTAAACGTTGTAACTGAAGCGAGATCGTTTATTTAAGCGTCATTATAACCTGCATAGAAGCTAACACATGCTTAAAAGACGAAATTCTAACCTGAGGAACAAGTATGTCCTACTAGAACTACTATGACTTAGATATCAATATAGTAAGACTTAATGATAGCAGAATTATAAGAATTAAACTTTATTATTTCAATCTGTAATTAGACATTTGATATAACCTTTATATTTTGTTGGATATTCTACGCATTTCGATATACCTATAAACTGTAAAACTAATGTTAGAATATATTATAATTTTTGTGCTATTAATGAAGTAACACATAACCTTAATCCAACAAATCCCAACTCGCACATTCATATATTTAATATTGCAAATGAAACTAAATTAATAACAAAACACGAAAAGAACACAAAAATAAATCAACAAAAGAGCAATTCAAAAATAGTTTATTACTTTCAAATATCAAATATATTATTTGGAGGACTAAATAGAAAATTTGTACTATAAAAAAAATATCACCAACTAGTAAAGTAATTTATATGGAAATATGCAACTTCCTAAAATCATTAATAAAAGAAAAAATTTAAGAGTATCTTTTTCATAACAAAGTGTAAAACTATTTTTAATATTTCAAGAAATTTTTTAAGAAAGATTTTGTTTTAATTCCATTTCAACTACTTTATACAAATTAAAAGCACATCCACCAATTCATACTAAAGTTTTGTTTGGTGTCACCAAGGACATTTCGATACATTACTTCTTTATGTAACTTAAGCCTCTGGAAGACATCAAATAGGTGGAAATATAATATAGCAGTGACCAAAAGAACACACTTTTCAAATTCATAGTTAATTTTTTCATCAAAGTATTTATCTGCATTTAAATAGTATATTTATAAGAAAAAGATACTAGATATATTAAAAATACAATCTCTCCTAAATTCTACTGATATTAATTAGGAGGTTAATTCGCAGACATCCCTTACTAATATTAAAATTTAAAACAAAATAATCCCACCAATAGGTGATTGCATCAAGTTATATAATATACATATATATATCACTGACTTAAATTTAAACAACTTTATACATATGCAACTTGTACAATTAAAGTAGATAATTTTTATCCCTGGCTCTAAAGCATGCATAAATAAAAACAGTGTACTAAAGCATGCATATCTGTCAATATTAGTGCAATATCTACCAGACTCAGAAGTCTTTAAGTTTCCAGTTTTTAAACATTGAAATTTTGATATTTATTTATTTTATATTTTCTTAGGTGTTGTACAACTAGAAAAATTAATGTAACAAATTCTCATTCTGAATGTTAAATACATTGTGTCCATCAACAAAGATATCTCTCTGTTATAACAGAAGGAAAAACTGAAAAATTTAAGCCCACTTATAAAATTAACTATATTTTAATATTTACTTGCAAAATATCTAACATTATACTTATACATTTTGACACAGAAGTTAAACAGAATGGTAATGTGTATAAAATGAGTTGTTACAATATTAAATGTATGTAATATATATGTTATTTATTATATTAAAAGTATTGTTCCAACACATTCTACACGTGGCAACCCTATTCTAATGATATTTGTCATATAGGGATAATAAGAATTTAAGACTGAGAGAAAATCCTTTGAATCAATTATAAATCAAATAAGGACAAAATGTTGTCATATCTTAAAATAACCCGATTTAACTAAGCCTCTGTTACTTAAGGTTAGGAAATCACAACATACACAGCTGCCAGTTTAAAACAACATTCAGTATTAATTGGTGTATCAGGGCATTCACTATACAAGTTTACTACAGTTCAATTTTATATAATTGAAAGTTGTTGCAAGTTACAGCACAGCATCCACTAGCTGTTCAGTGCACTGGGTTGTGTTTAGAATATGAACGCATTCATTATGAAACCTCAATAATATTTGCAATCCAATGAAGGTTGGCAAGTCCTGGCACTACATCCACTCAACTAGAACACTACTGTCACATCACTGTATTTTTAACGACAAAAACAGAGGGGTGTTATATGTTTGTAGTGTGTATCTGTATATCCATGTATCTGTGTGTCTCTCTGTGGCGTCATAGTTCCTGAACGGATGAACCGATTTAGATTGTTTTTTTTTGTTTGGAAGGCGTTTTAATTGAGTGTTGTTATATTTCAAGAAAATCTGTTCAGACATTTGAAAATCATCAGCTCTTGTTTTTTTTTTTTTCATTTTAAATTTAAGTTATATTAGTTGCAGCACAGTATTAGATGTTAAGTACATGGAGGTGTGGGTGAGGCATTAAAGTATTTCCTAAACTACTTCGTTATGGTTAATTATTGTTTAATATCAATTTCTGTATCCAATATGAGTGACATATAAATGACCCATTCCAGTAGAAGAGACTCATTGAATAAACCTTGCTATATCTACAAAATATTTTTGTGTCATCACACTGTTACTCTACTAGAGATTGACAATGTAGGTGGGTGTAACGGCATTATGACATCTACATATCAAACTGGTGGTAGCTCAATGTTCACAAGTCCTTGAAATAAACCTAGACTGAGTGAATAAAATTTATTTTCTTAAATAGCATTTTTTTAATTTGATATCATTGTATTCACCAAATGTTCATTTTTATTTACTGTAGCTACCGAAAGGTAATTAAAGGTAAACAAAACAACACAGTGTTCATTAGTTGAGTGATGTGGCTGTGTGGTGTTAGAAAAAACTTTAGTATCATTTCATCTATTCACAGAAGATTGTTGGTAGTTACCGCACAGTTTCCAGAAGACAAATGCAGGATGTATAAGTGTGGTATGAAGATATTCACTATACTTCATTGCAGTTTACAATCATTTACTGATGTTGAAAATTGTTTATTATCACATCACTGTGTCCGTGGTTGTGAGATGAGCACTGTGTGGGTTACCCATACACAATTGTATGGGTTTGGCACAAAGACCCGCACTATATGACTTGATTATTGTGTATTATGATTCACTATGACGTCACTGTATTTCGACAGAACAGTAGCGCTAGTGGGAGCCGGGCGGTGCACTATGGTTAACTATGACGTCACAGTATCCACGGGCCACTAAACGGTGGCAGGGAGGCGAGCAGTGTCGGGTCAGGACACGGCCTCCTGCGCCAGTTCAGAGCCGGGTGGTCTACTACGGTTCACTATGACGTCACAGCGTCCACGGAGCACTAGACGGTCGGTGGCGGGGGGCGCGCGCCCTGTTGCTCCAGCTGGGAGTCGGGCGGTGCATTGCGGTTCACTATGACGTCACAGTGTCCACGGGGCCCCTGGCGGTCGGAGGCGGGGGGCGCGGCCAGCTGGGAGTGGAGCGGTGCACTGCGCTGCACTATGACGTCACAAGGTCCGGGGGGCAGCAGGCGGGCGGCGGCGGGTCAGGGCGCGGCCTCCTGCGCCAGCTCGGAGCCGGGCGGCGCCGCGCCGCGCGCCACCACCGCCACCGCGCTCACCGACAGCTCCAGCGGCTCGCCGCCTGGACACCGACCCACGCTGCACTCCATGTCCGTACTGTAACCAAACAACTAAATATTATACCGCTATTGGATATGGACCTCTCCTGTAGTACGGTGGATTTACCTTAATCGTCACGTATGGCAAGAGGATTGACAATAGCAGTACCAGACGTTTCACACGTTTGACTCTCCTTCGCAAGTCTCGTCACATCACAGCTACTTCTGACATCTGACTTTGACTGCCTCGTTGATTAGTGGTTGTAATAGTGCGACTGCTGATCATGAGGTTCCGGGTTCGAATCCCGGGTCAGGCAAAAGAATCAATTATTGAGCTTTTCGTCGTGGCGTCAGGAAGCTGGCGGTATCTCGCCCCCGTGCCTCGGAAAGCACGTAAAGTCGTTGTTCCTGGGCCTGATCTCTCTCCGATCGTGTCAATTTACCGTTCCATCGGAATATAAGTTAAGGAATAAAGAGTGCACCTGTGCTTGCGGATACACTTGAGCACTATAATCCTGTCCTGCGCCGATGGCTAGTCTACGTGTACGTTGAGACTGGCCGCCATGACCGAAATTCGGTCTGGAGAATGTTATTACTTCAGGCATATGCGATCTTTTTGACATTTCCCATGGTCATCTCTTACAACACCCACGGATTGATAAGGGGTGAAGGATTCTCTTACACCGCCACCACACGGCGTACCATTTTTGCATGTATCAAAATAAACATGGTCTCTATTCGAGTATGATACAGTACTGCAAAATAAATATTGTGCATCGACAAACACAGGAAACAATTGTATATGCATACATTATATATACATTGCAGAAATGATATACGAAAGTAATTTGTTAATATCCTAAAAATACTCGTAATTTCAATTTTACGACAAACAAATAAATGTAAATTATATTTCTAAGAACAGCAATAAGTTACAAGACATGCAAACAGCAAATGTTACCACCGTTTTGTGGAATTGAGTATAACCAAAATTGTGTTTTATTTTTTAAGGTAAGATTTTAAATCTATAATTAAAAATGCATTATTACAACCTTTTGACCAACCAATTATACTTAAGTTATAAGTATCTCACAATACATAAATAGTCTCGCAATAATAATTGGGTAAGAGCAGCTGTATATTATTCACCATCTCGATCTGCAATCGATCATATTCAGAAATACGAAACTTCGTATTTAGTTAGCTGATGCACAATAAATATTGTGCATCAGCTAACTAGCTTATGCACAATATTTGTTGCTAAGTACCTACTGTACGTTGGTGATACGTTTTTGTTTATTTATAACAAAAATACTTGTATAACCTAATATGCAGATAACCGGCAGATCAAAAGTTGAGTATACTCAAAGAAAGTATATAAAAGCGTATGGCTGGGATTTGGTCTAAGTTATACTGTAGTAGCTACCCGTGTGGTTAAAGAATGGGATTGAACATGGCGTTGCCTTTATTCACTTCTCGCTCGCACACTGTCGCTATCTATACTCACACCCGCCGGTAAAGACTAGAAATAATATACGTTGCGATATGCGTTTTTGTAACAAAAAAATAACATTCAGTTCGGTAGCGAATTTATGAGCTACACGCGTTCTAAGAGTTTTCTTCATAATTCTTGTTGATTTTGTTTAACCATATTTGAGTAACCATTTTTGAGTAACCATTTTTAAAGCGTTTGTTCGTCTGTCTGTCTGTCCGTGCTAATCTTGGGAAAGGCTGAACTGATTGTAATAAAAATTTATTTTATAATTTTTATTACAATCAGTTCATTAAATAAGGCCATTTAATAAATGGCCTTTAATGATTATCTTAAATTTAAATAAAGCCATATTAATAGATCCCAAAGCGAAGCCAGAGCGGATCGCTAATTATAAATGATATTTTTAAATTAATGTTAGGTACTTACGTATACAACTCTTTTTAAATATTTTCCCATTAAAAGAAAATTTCCAATTAACCGAATAATATCGTTCGAGTTAAAACAATGTATCGTTATTAGCGGGTTTTCGCTATTGGTATTGTGCATGTTGACGGTACGAGTTCAATGAGCCGCCATTTCTAATTCTATTCTTTATCCGAACGGACTGTATATAGTACAATATAATATAAACTCCTTTACTTACACAGCACTGACTGTGGATATTTGCATTCTGGACGTATTCCACTGCTCACTTGCTTCGATGGAATCCAGCTGGTCTTCTGCGGTCTGCACAGCGGATGTGGATGTTTCACCCTCTACTGGTGACTCCAGGTTTATAAGTGTAGCCGTCGCCACCTCACTCACTCTGCATGACTCATCTGTGTTCGAACTTGTTGATTGGCTTGTGTCAACGGACTTTTGTACATCTGGTAAAAAAAGTTTAAAGTAATAATAAAAATATTCATTATGTACACGTCTTTCTACTTTTTTTCTATTACAACTTTTTTATATTACTATTATACGAGAATAATGCGTAAAAATATAATTTAGCAATATAGTCATTATTCGTCTGCAGTTTTTGAGAATAATTTATTAGTTTCATATATAAAAGTTTTATAAATAAAGCGTATTAAAATTAGTACATGGTACATACTAAGTATAATAATAGTGATATAATGGCAAAAAATATGTTTGGGAGTGTATATTCAATTAATAATTAAATAAATTGCAATTCAAATGTGTGAATTATACAAACATGGCGTGGTGTATACATCACTTTAAATGAAAATAATATGAAAATATTATGAAGAGTAAAAGCAAAGACCTGGAGCATGCATGTAGGTCAACCATTTCTTGAGCGGTCGATTTTCAGCGAACATGCTGAGAACGCTGCTCTTCATTGCATCTGCAATGAAATGCGCGTCATTCGCGTTAAAAATAAACCACCGTTTACTAAACCGCAACTAAAACAACACTAAGCTATCTGATATAAGCAGAATTTGACTAAACTTTGTACAGCACAAACAAAAATAGCCCAGGGGATGTCGCAACAAAAATAACATATAGATTATTAACAAAGTTAATAACAAAGTACAAGTAGTAGAACAATTTGATAATTGATAGTTTTTATTTGAAAGTCTACTTGTTCATATTAAAACAGCATTATAGATATTTTAAAAACTAAGAGAAAATTATAATTACCATTAATGCTAGCTTTAGTGCAATTATGTCTTACCATACAAATAAACTTCATAAATTACCTTGTTTATGTCTATGGTCACAACATGGCGGCTGCGCCAATTGCGGTCGCAGCGGACGAACACGAACTCTATAGAAACGCGACCCACGTGGCATTTGATAACGATTACCGTTCTGAAATAAAAAAAATATACTACTAATGTTATAATTATAATACAATATTTAGATCAAATAGCCGAAAATTTACACAAAAACAGCCCAACTTTTATACAAACTAGTAACTTATTTTTGTGAAAGTAGGGAACATTCATAAAATAATAATATTTTTAAATAGAAGTAAGGATGACAAACGAGCACATAGTCCACCTTGTGGTAAATGGATACTGTAATGCTGTATTGTGATCCGTAGACATATATCGAGCTATCCTCGATTAAGAATCCAAATTTTTATGCGTTGTCAACCCTGAGGACTAAGATGGAATGCCTCGCTTTTATGCTGCTGTGGTTTTAATTACTACTTTACGCTGCTATTTTGTGAGAGCTTGGTCCTTCCCTGATCAAATGGACCCACACTGCATACAAACATAATTAATATAACTGCAATGTGGCTCTACCACATATAAACAAAATTTCTTCCATTTACGTGAATATGCAAAAAAAATAATGCAAAGAATAAAACATATTAATTGGATGTTTTGCAACAGCCTGATGTCATAAGTGAACCTGGACTGTCTTTCTAACAATTTAAAGCTAGTTACAACTTTGACATCAGGTCAAAACACCTCAATCATCCCGTGACCATGGGTCCTGGAATGCTTTTCAAACATCGATAATTAAAAATTCGTAAATTGAACACAATAAAATCCGTAAAATTCGTTTTTATTAATCGGTATTCATTATAATTCTTGACTGATAGAGAATGACATAAAGCAATTAAATCCGCCCTTTGTAATCCCTAGGTTAAAGTGTTTGCAATAAGGGATAAATAAATAAATAAGTTAATAAAAATATATATGAGTAAGAACAATTTGTTGTTTAGAAAAATTATTTTGTATTCAATATAATTTGTGCATTTTAAAATATTTCACAATAGTTTTGTTTTAGTGTAATACTGTACGGCTAGCAATTTCTAGAATTATTCTCCTACATTAATAATAAGCTGAGACACATTAATAAATTTGAATACTATGGAACTTGCCTTTTTTGCATAACAAAACTCCTTGGATTCAACTGTAGCAACAGTGTAGAGTTTTCTTTCACTTTCGTTCTTGACTTGTATACTAAGATCCAGCGCTGGCAGGCAGTCACTGTGAACGAAGTACATCATCGATGCCTCCTGCAACATAGTTTAGTACATAATATCATTTTAATTGAATAAATTATAACAATGTTATAACATTTCAAAAATATCTTTAGAACACCTAGTAGTATACAAGTAGTATATATAATATATACACCTCTTAGTATAGAAATTATTAACGATTAATCTTTTATTTATTTTGATGATTAAGTTAATGTCTTTACTTTGGTTTTATTACATTTTTAAATTAATTCACAAGTACATTCATTTACATGTACTTATTATAGTTCTTCAACTTCATGTATGTAGTAGGTACCTAATATTAACTTATTGTTTCTCATGGTAAGTGAATTGTATTCTTTGTGAAAAATAATTGAACTGTAAATAGAAAGCAAGATAACCAATGAAATACCAAGAAGTAGGATTAACGGTGCGAGTATCTCGAATCTGCGCTTATCAACTCGTGTGTCGAGCTCGAGCATAAAATTCACAAAATTTCTTGCACTCATATTATATGCCTCCAGCACGATTACGCCACGATTCGTTTGCTGTCCTTCACACCACCATCACATAACTATTACTGTACAATACTCGTTAAGTTTATTAATTAGTAAATTAATTAATTAAAACTAAATTTGTATTAATTTTATAATTTAATCACATGTAATTAGCTAAAAGAAATCAAATATACATACTTTAAATTCGCATTTTATCTACGAATAACCTCGATTAAAAATCGAAATGCAGATGCATTGTCACCACGGAGGACTAAGAGATGCCCGTTTCCAGTAAAAAGGATCTCCGATTCTCTACACTCACCATACGAAACACAGCAGTTTTTAACTGCTATTTTATGTTGGTATTCTGTGAGAGCATGGTCCTTGCCTAGTCGAGCCGACCCATTCGTACTACAACCATATATTGCTGCAGCACGGCTCTACCGTATATGATTATTATGAGGTATGATATTGGTATATCGAACAGGGTGTACAATGGGTACAATTGGCGAGGTTACCTGCATGACAGTGTAGTTGAGGTGCGCGGGGTCCCACAGCAGCAGCACGGTGTGCCCGGGCAGGCACGACGACAGGCTGAGCGCGCCGCCGATGGGTAGAGGGTAGAGTTAGCGAGGTTACCTGCATGACGGTGTAGTTGAGGTGCGCGGGGTCCCACAGCAGCAGCACGGTGTGCCCGGGCAGGCACGACGACAGGCTGAGCGCGCCGCCGATGGGTAGAGGGTAGAGTTAGCGAGGTTACCTGCATGACGGTGTAGTTGAGGTGCGCGGGGTCCCACAGCAGCAGCACGGTGTGCCCGGGCAGGCACGACGACAGGCTGAGCGCGCCGCCGATGGGTAGAGGGTAGAGTTAGCGAGGTTACCTGCATGACGGTGTAGTTGAGGTGCGCGGGGTCCCACAGCAGCAGCACGGTGTGCCCGGGCAGGCACGACGACAGGCTGAGCGCGCCGCCGATGGGTAGAGGGTAGAGTTAGCGAGGTTACCTGCATGACGGTGTAGTTGAGGTGCGCGGGGTCCCACAGCAGCAGCACGGTGTGCCCGGGCAGGCACGACGACAGGCTGAGCGCGCCGCCGATGGGTAGCGGGTAGAGTTAGCGAGGTTACCTGCATGACGGTGTAGTTGAGGTGCGCGGGGTCCCACAGCAGCAGCACGGTGTGCCCGGGCAGGCACGACGACAGGCTGAGCGCGCCGCCGATGGGTAGAGGGTAGAGTTAGCGAGGTTACCTGCATGACGGTGTAGTTGAGGTGCGCGGGGTCCCACAGCAGCAGCACGGTGTGCCCGGGCAGGCACGACGACAGGCTGAGCGCGCCGCCGATGGGTAGCGGGTAGAGTTAGCGAGGTTACCTGCATGACGGTGTAGTTGAGGTGCGCGGGGTCCCACAGCAGCAGCACGGTGTGCCCGGGCAGGCACGACGACAGGCTGAGCGCGCCGCCGATGGGTAGAGGGTAGAGTTAGCGAGGTTACCTGCATGACGGTGTAGTTGAGGTGCGCGGGGTCCCACAGCAGCAGCACGGTGTGCCCGGGCAGGCACGACGACAGGCTGAGCGCGCCGCCGATGGGTAGCGGGTAGAGTTAGCGAGGTTACCTGCATGACGGTGTAGTTGAGGTGCGCGGGGTCCCACAGCAGCAGCACGGTGTGCCCGGGCAGGCACGACGACAGGCTGAGCGCGCCGCCGATGGGTAGAGGGTAGAGTTAGCGAGGTTACCTGCATGACGGTGTAGTTGAGGTGCGCGGGGTCCCACAGCAGCAGCACGGTGTGCCCGGGCAGGCACGACGACAGGCTGAGCGCGCCGCCGATGGGTAGAGGGTAGAGTTAGCGAGGTTACCTGCATGACGGTGTAGTTGAGGTGCGCGGGGTCCCACAGCAGCAGCACGGTGTGCCCGGGCAGGCACGACGACAGGCTGAGCGCGCCGCCGATGGGTAGAGGGTAGAGTTAGCGAGGTTACCTGCATGACGGTGTAGTTGAGGTGCGCGGGGTCCCACAGCAGCAGCACGGTGTGCCCGGGCAGGCACGACGACAGGCTGAGCGCGCCGCCGATGGGTAGCGGGTAGAGTTAGCGAGGTTACCTGCATGACGGTGTAGTTGAGGTGCGCGGGGTCCCACAGCAGCAGCACGGTGTGCCCGGGCAGGCACGACGACAGGCTGAGCGCGCCGCCGATGGGTAGAGGGTAGAGTTAGCGAGGTTACCTGCATGACGGTGTAGTTGAGGTGCGCGGGGTCCCACAGCAGCAGCACGGTGTGCCCGGGCAGGCACGACGACAGGCTGAGCGCGCCGCCGATGGGTAGAGGGTAGAGTTAGCGAGGTTACCTGCATGACGGTGTAGTTGAGGTGCGCGGGGTCCCACAGCAGCAGCACGGTGTGCCCGGGCAGGCACGACGACAGGCTGAGCGCACCGCCCGCCAGCCCGCACGGCGTGTGGCAGCGTGCCCGCGCCCGCCCCTCGCGCCCCGCCCTGCCCTCCTCCTTCTTCGGCGACGACCTCATCCCAAAACATACCATCACTCTTTTTTTATAGGATAAGAGTGACAAACGAACACACAGTTCACCTGATGGTAAATGGATGCTGTGGCCTATAGACATCTACAGCGATTAAGAATTAAAATGCAGATGCGTTGCCACCTGTGAGGACTACGATGGAATGCATCGTTTCCAGTAAAAAAGATCTCCAGTTGCCTACTCTCTCCATATCCGATCGAGCCAACCCATTCATGCTACAACTATACCAGTAATACAACTGCAGCATGGCTCTACCACGTATACAAAATTCCAAGTATAAGCCAATGCCTGTTTACTACTATCCCACCTCTGCCTCGACTCTGGTCGCCTCGTCGGTCTAGTGTCTGTAAACACGGTTACCGATCACGAGGTCCTGAGCCAGCAGGCCAGCTCAATATCAATTATTGGACTATTCTGTCACGAAATCCTCTACTATCTCTCTCCAGTCGTGTCGAACTACCATCCCCGATCGGACTATGAGGGTAAAGAATTATAAAGTGCAACTGTACTTGCACATACACTTGGGCACAGTACTTTATTATAAAATTACTATAATGAATTGCTAACTACCCAGTTGTCCATCCTGAAATGGCATCAAAGCTGTTTTGTAACACAAATGACTGATTTTAGTAGCTAACTGCTGATTAATGAGAATTCAGTCTTTCAACTAACGAATTACTATATAGTGTATATTCCAAAATAATTTTATTTTCCACTATCCAATTTATTCTACATACACACCTCCCCTCACTGTCATCTTCTCGACTCTTTTCTCCTTCCTCATTCTTTTTTTCCAACTCTTTTTTCAACTCTACTACTTGATGCTGAAGAGCAGCCTTTTCGTTTTCAAGTGTTGCCAGCTAAAATAAATGATGACATTAATAATTACAAATAGATTCAATCATTGATTTTACATTGCGAAAGAAAAACCATTACCTCATATATCAATATGCAGAAAGGAAAGCCAGATGGGCAAGTCCATCTGGAAAGCTAGGTGGACGAGTTCATCTGGCTTTCCAGAGTAGGAACTATGGGAAGCCAGGTGGGTGGTTAAACTATAAATGTAATTTAGCACATTCTTAAAAATACCTATATCCGGCAGTAGATTGAACACGAATTGTGTTTGTATTATTTTATTGTACTTATTCATTATACTCAATGAAACTAATTTTTAGGAAAAAAATTGCCTAATAAAACAACAAAAAATTTCTAACTCAAAAATTTTTAGACAGCTTTAAACTTTTTAACTTTAAAACGTTATAATATATCTAAAATATATTAAAAAAATGTTCAGCTTCGAAATTAAATTGGCTTAACAATGGTAGTGAAAATAATAGAACAGCAAAGTTTATATATTCTGAACTAATTTGGTCCTTATATCTATTGCCGAAAGATGAACTATCGAAACCTAAAAACTGTATTTGAAAACAAAATAATTGTTTAATATCTTACCCAGACCAAGATACTGTTTTAATCTGTCTAGTTAATTACATGCGGCTTTACTTATTGCTTATTGTTGATTATTGCGTATTGCATACCTTAAGCGAAAGCGCAAGGTATGTATGTTCTACTATCGCTTAAAAATTAAGATTCCAACGTTTTATCGAATAAAATCGTATCTAGCAATCATATTATACATATATGTGCTTTACATTGTTAGAAAGATAAATGATTGTTGAACTTATTAATATATTTTTTAAATCGATTAATTGCTATTTTTAAATAAAAAAGGGGTTTTAATGGCTTATGGTGTGGATTTATCATGTCCCCAAGGCTTGTAAACACAATAACTTTTGAAAATATCAATTGTTAAACTCAATTTATTTTTTAATCTCTTCACCTATCATGTGGGAAGCCACTGAATGTAAATGGCAGTGTAATTTTGTTTTGTTTAGCTAAAATTAATTTTTTTCGGCTCCAAAATGGCGAAATTTTCGTTGATTTGGTTGCCTTGTATGTAAATTATTTCTGTAAATGGGGAGCTACAGCCACAGAGTAGTTTAGTTCGGCTTCAGTCACCGTCGTGAGTGGACATTGTTTCGGTTGTTTGCAGCGGCTCAAAAAGATCGCTGTACAAATACACAATATTCGAATAACCAAATTTATTAATATTTGATTATAATAATAATAAGAGATTTTTTTTATTACAATATTTTAAAAGCACAGAATAAATAATAGTAGTACGTACTAAAAGTAAGTAGTATAATTTTTTTTGTCACGGGTGACATTTTCATGGTTTTCGAGGGTTTTGAAACCGATAGTGCTGTCGAAATGTAAATCCAAGATGGCGGCCGCAATAGGTATCAATTTTTTCATCATTGGTGTCATTTTCATGGTTTTCGAGGGTGCTGAAGCCAATAGTGCTGCCGAAATGTAAATCCAAGGTGGCGGCTGCAATAGGTATAAATTTTTTCATCATGGGTGTCATTTTCATGGTTTTCGAGGGTGTTAAAGCCGATAGTGATGTCGAAATGTAAATCAAAGATGGCGGCTGCAATAGATATCAATTTTTTCATGACGGGTGTCATTTTCATGGTTTTCGAGGGTGCTGAAGCCGATAGTGCTGTCGAAACGTAAATCCAAGATGGCGGCTGCAATATATATCAAGTTTTTCATCTTGGGTGTCATTTTCATGGTTTTTGAGGATGTTGAAGCCGATAGTGCTGTCGAAATGTAAATCCAAGATGGCGGCTGCAATAGATATCAATTTTTTCATCATGGGTGTCATTTTCATGGTTTTCGAGGGTGCTGATGCCGATAATGCTGTCGAAATGTAAATCCAAGATGGCGGCCGCAATAGGTATCAATTTTTTCATCATTGGTGTCATTTTCATGGTTTTCGAGGGTGCTGAAGCCGATAGTGCTGTCGAAATGTAAATCCAAGGTGGCGGCTGCAATAAGTATAAATTTTTTCATCATGGGTGTCATTTTCATGGTTTTCGAGGGTGTTAAAGCCGATAGTGCTGTCGAAATGTAAATCCAAGATGGCGGCTGCAATAGATATCAATTTTTTCATGATGGGTGTCATTTTCACGGTTTTCGAGGATGCTGAAGCCGATAGTGCTGTCGAAACGTAAATCCAAGATGGCGGCTGCAATAGATATCAATTTTTTCATCATGGGTGTCATTTTCATGGTTTTCGAGAGTGCTGATGCCGATAGTGCTGTCGAAATGTAAATCCAAGATGGCGGCTGCAATAGATACAAATTTTTTATCTTGGGTATCATTTTCATGGTTTTCGAGGGTGTTGAAGCCGATAGTGCCGTCGAAATGTAAATCCAAGATGGCGGCTGCAATAGGTATCAATTTTTTCATCATGGGTGTCATTTTCATGGTTTTCGAGGGTGTTAAAGCCGATAGTGCTGTCGAAATGTAAATCCAAGATGGCGGCTGAAGTAGGTACCAATTTTTTCACCTTGGGTTCATTTTCATGGTTTTCGAGGGTGTTGAAGCCATAGTGCTGTCGAAATGTAAATCCAAGATGGCGGCTGCAATAGGTATTAACTTTTTCATAATGGGTGTTATTTTCATGGTTTTCGAAGGTGTAGAAGCCGATAGTGCTGTCGAAATGTATTTAAACTACTTTAAAAATTCCGTATAATCATGTTATACGTAATTTTTTTAATACGCTTAAGGTATGCCCAATTGGATTTACCAATATATTTAAATTAATTATTATTTATCTCTATACCTGTTGTACTCTTTCTATTGTTATTTAATGAAAAGGAAGAGAGAGAGAGATCAACTTTAAGCATTTTTTAAATTGACGTCGATTTTTTTGAGTAAGGGCGACAATGTACTCAATATAATTTTCAATAGTGCGCACGGAGGTTTATACTTTTTGGACGAAATGCATGGGAGTTTTTCAAAACCTGAGTAAAAGAGTTGGTAGGGGACGCTGGGCAGCGCAGATCCGATGCCCTCGCATTGATAATGCTGCTTCTCATCACCAGTGTACTAGTGTATTCATTTGGCATTTTTGAAAGAATTTTTCGCATTAATCATTCGTCAATTCGTCATAGCCTCGTTTGTCAATCAGATCCTGCTGACTGCGTCACATGCAAGTGTAGTTACTTAGTTAAAAGACTGAAGAAGTGAAAAAATTACCTGCGTCTTAAGCAAAGTATCGTAGTCGTTGGTCTCGGGGTCGGTGAGCTGTTGTATAGTCTCGCGATACTTCATGCACTCACGCGCAAGCGTCTGTTCGCGTTCGCGTAATAACTCCAACTGTCGATCCTTTTCGGAGAGCAGTCGACGGGTCACGTCGTTTATTGTTACCTAAATATATAATACGTTAAAATACGTTATTCTTTACAATCTGAATTAGAAACCCTTATATTATAAACAAAATTAACCGTTTTTTTTTAATTGAACAAATTTTTACGGATTTCATCGCGTTTAATTAGCTTATTTTTATATTCCCGACGTTTCGAGTGCTCACAGTCATGGTGGGATTGAGGATTAACTTACATTGGGACCGCTGTCAACCGTGGCCGTAGTTAAACACCGCTACCTTCTTTTGATTAACTATGACATAAGTAGTTTCATTCAATATGTAGTGTTGGCGCAAAAATAAGAAATAATTAACAATTTTTACGTAATTTTATAGTATAAAGGTGACAAACAAGTATTCTGTCCAGGTAGTGGTAGTGAATACTGTGGCCCTTAGACATCTACATTTATCATCGTTTAAGGGACCTTCAAGAAAAGAGCTTACACCTTTCTAAAAGGCCGGCAACGCATCTGCAATTCCACTGGTGTTGCAGTTGTTCATGGGCGGCGGTAGTTACTTACCATCAGGTGAGCCGCATGCACGTTTGCCCCCTCTTCTATATAAAAAAAATTAATAAAATTGCATTGTCACCTCTGAAGCCTAAGTTAGAATGTCTCATTACCAGCAAGGAAGGGTCTCTGGTTCTCTACCATCACCATACGAAACACGGCAGCATTAATCTGGTATTTTACGCTGGTATTCTATGTGAGCGTGGTCCTTCGCTGGTGAAATCGACGCATTCGTGCTGCATCCATTAATAGTTGCAGCGTGACTCTACCACGTAAAAAATGCTAGAGTATACACATTACGGCTCTAAGAAATATTAAAATGGTATTGACGTGATACTATATATTAAATTGTTTGCACAATCATCATCATCATCATCATTACAGCCTTTCATAAGTTTACTGCTCAACATAGGCCTCCCCCAAGGAATGCCACAAAGCACAGTCCTGAGCCACCTGCATCCATCGACTTCCTGCATGTCATACCAGATCGTCACTCCATCTCGTGAGGGGTCGCCCTACACTTCGCCTACCGGTACGAGGCTGTCACTCAAGAACCTTTCTTCCCCATTGGTTGTCAGTTCTTCGAGCTATATGGCCGGCCCACTGCCACTTCAGCTTACTAATCCGTTGGGCTATGTCGGTTACTCTGGTTCTACTGCGGATATCCTCATTCCTAAGTTTATCACGCAGAGAAATTCCGAGCATAGCCCTCTCCATAGCTCGCTGAGCGACCTTGAGCTTCCTCATACGGCCAGCAGTGAAGGACCACGTCTCAGTTCCGTAAGTCATCACTGGCAACACGCACTGGTTGTACAATTTCGTTTTAAGGTTTTGAGGTATGTCTGACGAGAAGATGTGTCGTAGCTTCCCGAACGCTGCCCAGCCGAGTTGAATCCGTCGATTGACCTCTCGGTCGAAGTTGGATTTACCTAGTCGGACTATTTGTCCCAGGTAAACATACTCGTCAACAACTTCGAGCTTAGTGCTCCCAACAACTACCGGCATAGGTGTGACATGGACATTAAACATGATCTTTGTTTTGTCCATGTTAATCTTAAGATCTATACGTTGGGAGACACTATTGAGGTCATTGAGCATAGTGCTTAGGTCCTCCAGCGATTCTGCCATAAGAACTATATCGGCGGCAAATCGAAGGTGAGTGATGTACTCACCATTGACGTTGATACCGTATCCTTTCCAGTCCAGTAGCTTAAAAACGTCTTGCAGCGGTGAAGAGTTTCGGGGATATTACGTCACCCTGTCTTACACCTCTCTGCAATTGGATAGGTTTCGTACTCTGGTTCTGTACTCGGATAGCCATCGTAGCTCTACTGTACAAGCACTTCAGCACTTCGATATACCGACAGTCCTTGTTCTCCAAAATAATGGAATCCATTATTAACTGCCAGCTCATCCGGTACCTTGAGGATCACCAGCTGATTAGTGACCGCCAATACGGTTTTCGTTGGGGTCGATCAGCTGGTGATCTTCTAGTCTACCTGACCCATAGATGGGCGGAGGCAGTAGAGTCCAAGGGGGAGGCGTTGGCCGTTAGTCTAGACATTGCGAAGGCCTTCGATCGGGTTTGGCACAAAGCGCTTCTTTCGAAGCTCCCTTCCTATGGGCTTCCCGAGAAATTGTGCAATTGGATCACCAGCTTCCTTGCAGATCGGAGCATCAAGGTCGTTGTAGACGGTGCATGTTCTGACTACAAGCCTATTAACGCTAGTGTTCCACAAGGCTGTGTGCTATCACCAACGCTGTTTCTTCTGCATATCAATGATACGTTGCTAACTGGTAACATTCATTGCTATACGGATGACAGCACTAGTGATGCTCTATACACCGGCCGTGCCAATATTTCTCGGGAAAACGTCGCCGAATACCGGAACAAACTTGTGTCTGAAGTCGAATCTTTGCTGAACAAAGTCTCGGATTGGGGGCGACTAAATCTAGTCCAGTTTAATCCTCAGAAGACACAAGTTTGCGCGTTTACCGCTAAAAAGAACCCCTTTGTCGTATCTCCTCAGTTTCAAGGCACTCCCCTTCTTGCCTCAGCCAGTATCGGTATCCTCGGAGTCGACATATCAAGTGACGTGCAGTTTCGTGGTCACTTGGAAGAGAAGGCCAAATTGGCCTCTAAAAAGCTTGGCGTGCTCAGCAGAGCGGGACAGTATTTCATGCCGGCACACCGCCTGCAACTTTACAAGGCGCAGGTTCGGCCTCACATGGAATACTGTTCCCATCTCTATGGACTAGTTCGTCCGGTTCAGGGACCAGTTTACTACTCGGATCTCGTCAGCGATGTGGTAAACTACGGACTGTTGCGCGAGTTTGCGCATAAGTGGCACGATCGCAGTACAAGGCAGGATGGAAAGCTGGTAGGAGCGCCCAACGACGTAGGCGTCAATGTGTCGTCAGCCCCAGAAGGGGGAGAATCACGTTAAACTGGGACAAGGAATAGATTAAATATTTGTAGGGAGTCAAGAAAGTGTGCCCGGGAAAGAGCCACATGCAAGTACCGCGCGCATCTCCCGAGATTCGGCCCGTATGACCTGAGGGTCGGTGGGGCCATGGGAGGTGGAGGGTTGTTCCTATCTCTGGGCAGGGTCTCCCCAGTGCCAGCTCCTTCCACTTGACCGCATCCAGCGCAGAGCGGCTCGAATCGTCGACGACCAAGCCCTTTCCGATCGGCTCGATTCATTGGCACTGCGAAGAGATGTTGCATCCCTTTGCATTTTCTACCATGGGGAGTGCTCTGAGGAATTGTTCGGATTAATCCCAGCCGCCAAATTTCACGAACGCACATCGCGGCAGAACTCCCGATACCACACCATCTGGATGATTGGCGGTCCACCACTGTGCGATTTAGAAGATGTTTTCTTCCTCGCACGACTTCCTTGTGGAATCTATTACCATCAGCGATTTTTCCGGACCGATACGACTTAGGGACCTTCAAGAAAAGAGCGTACTCCTTTTTAAAAGGCCGGCAACGCATCTGCAATTTCCTCCCTGGTGTTGCAGTTGTTCATGGGCGGCGGTAGTCACTTACCATCAGGTAAGCCGCATGCTCGTTTGCCCCCTCTCCTATAAAAAAAGGTCAACTTGGCACCGCTGAAGGGACTGCAGCACCGCCCAAATTTCGACGGAATCAAAGGCTTTCTCATAGTCCACATACGCTAGGCATAGCGGCAAATTGTAGTCCTCCGACTTCTGTACAACTTGCCGAAGGGTATGTATGTGGTCTATGGCGTTAAAGCCCTTTCGGAAACAAGCTTGTTCGGGAGGCTGGAAGTCGTCAAGTCTGCGCGCGACACGATTCGTAATGACTCTCGAAACCAGCACGGAGACGCGGCTCAGAAGGGAAATCGGTCTGTAGTTCTTCAAGAGAGCATTGTCACCTTTCTTGAAGAACAAGACCACCGCACTTCTGCTCCACGCCTCCGGTGTAATGCCACCACGGAGGACGGAATTAAAGAGCCTCTGAAGGACTTCCAGTACCGGTTTTCCACCCGCTTTCAGAAGCTCCGCTGTAATTCCATCCTCACCTGGGGCCTTGCCGTTTTTAAGATGCTGGAGAGCTATTCTAATCTCGTTCAGACTGACGTCCGGGATATCTTCGGAATAGTGTCGGATAACACTCGCTCTTGGATCGTTATTTACACTTGCGTGTGGCTCCAACAATGACATGTACAGCTGTCCATAGAACCTCTCAATCTCACTCAAAATCTCAGGTGCTCCGGAAACGATGCTGCCACACTCGATCTTCAGCTTTGACAGTTGACTCTTTCTGGCAGACAGATCTCTGGCCAAAGACTTTGGAGCCTTGGTTCCGCTCGATCGCTTCTTCAATACAAGCTGTATTGAAGTTGCGTAAGTCCCGCCGCATGCATTTGGAGATCTGTCTGTTCAGTTGCCTGTATGCTGTCAAATCTGTTGAAGAATGTAACTTCATCTCCCGTCTAACAGCCATGAGATTAAGAGTGTGATCGGAGAGTTTTTGTGTTCTTCTGCGGCGGGTCTTGCAGAACTTAGCTCCGACCGCATGGACAGTTTCCACGAGCTTGTTATTCATATCGTCCACTTCATTGCAGTCTTCTAGGCACTGAAAACGGTTTTGTAACTCGAGCTGAAAGGTTTCGGGACTTTGGAACAGAGCACGAGGGGGACGGAGCGTTGACTTCATTAGACGAGACCTCTCCAACTTAACGTTTAGGTTCAGTGTGCCTCTAACCATTCGGTGATCGCTACCAGTTTTCGCCCTCGCGATCACGGAGACATCACTGAACAGTTGTCGTCTGGTCGTCATAATGAAGTCAATCTCATTTTTTGTCGAACCGTCGGGGCTCGACCAGGTCCACTTCCTGTGGGGCCGCTTCTGGAAGAAAGAGTTCATCATAAAGAGTCCCTCTTTCTCCATGAAGTCGGCCAGCTACTGGCCTCTTGGGTTCCGTTGCCCTATTCCAAATTTCCCTACTTTCAGCTCACCGTTCTCTCTTGTGCCTAGTTTTGCATTGAAGTCTCCCATTAACACCGTATATTCGGTTTTGGAGGAATGCATGGCTCTAGAGATATCCTCATACATTTCCTCCACCTCCTCATCGGGGTGTGCCGAGGTTGGTGCGTAAACCTGTATGACCTTCAGCGAATACCGTTTGGTGATTCTGAGTATAAGGTACGCAACCCTCGTCGACACACTCCCGATCTTTACAACGTTGTTAACGAGAGACTTGTGGACGATAAATCCGACACCTCCTTGGGACAGATGGTCGCCCTCCCGGTGATAGAGCAAGTTGCCGGATTCGAGAATTACCGTGTCCTCCCCCTCGCTTCGGACTTCGGATAATCCTATAATATGCCAGCGCAACTTGTCTATCTCTTCTTCCAACTCCACGATCTTCTCGTCAGTCCTCAGGGTGCGTGCGTTGTACGTTGCCAGGTCGAGTCGTCTTAGGTGGCAACCGAACCTGCACCGGAGATTCTTAGCACCCCCTACCCCGCTGTTACCATTTTCGCCACCGTAGCCAGGAATAGAGGGGCCGCCGGGGACTGGGGGCCATCTGTTTGTTGCTCTAATCATTGGGGGTATTTGTGTTTATATGGGGGGATTTGCACAATATTAAGAAATAATTCAGTCATTAATTTCCCCAATATGTTATAATATTTTTATCCCACGACTATGGGTTGGTCCTACTTGTATTGTAGATGCACATGCACATAGTTTTAGTGTACGTAAGCTCGAGTTAAAAATTATAATTGAGTATCATCAATATGGAAAGTAAACGGAAAACAGTCCTTTTCTAAGACTAGAGTAAGGCTTGTTCGACTTCGTATGATATAACACCTATACTTGCAGTATGTACTCATTTTTAAATTAACATGAAATGTAAGTATATTATACTCGAAACTCTCGAAACATTTTGCCTATTCCAAAAAATAATACATTACCTGTTTGTCAGCCTCATATTTGGCTTTCAGCAAAGCAATTTCTGCATTAATTTTCTGCTCACACTCCGCTTTACATTTCTCCACTGCGACTCTCACAGCTTCTTCTTTCTCCACTTCCGCGTTCTCCTTTGTCTGCATTACAATGGCGTTGTGATTGTTTATCTCTATTACATCAGTTCGCTCAATCTTCTCTAAACTGGACTCAGATGGTGACCGATCCATATTGGTCAGTGCTACTAATCTGAATCTGTAAATACAAAAAAAAAACGTAAAAAATATATCTTATATACATTTAATAAAACTATAAGTTGGAATCGAAGAGAGAAGTAAAGTAAGAAGTTCTATTACAATGTTTGGAGTCAAGAGATATTTAAATGATTTTCTTCCTATAGCTATTGTAATAATTCAAAGTTTCAAAGTCGTGCATTAATCGTAACAATATTAGATTGAACTTACCTGGAACGCATGGATTCAACTTCGGCTTTAAAATCCAAGTGCATCTTTTCTTGTAACTCTTTGATTTCTTTTTGCTTTTGTGCTTCCATTTCTTCAAGCTTCTTTTCAAACGCTTTCATTTCCTCTCGAGTTTTTTCTAATAAGTCTTTAGTACCCTGATGTTCCGATTCTAATTTCTCTACTTCTTTGTTATGTTGAATTTTCAATTGTTCTTGTTCATTTTTCAAAGAATTAATGATGTCATCCTTGTCATTAAGGCATGCTTTGATGTCACTTAATTCTAATTCATGATCAACGGTCAGCCTTTGCGTTTGTTCACGAAACCTTATAGCCGTCTCCTCGTTACTCTTCTCCCAAGCATGAATTACTTCTAAATATTTTCCAGATATATATTTTTTCTGTTCCTCTATCTCATCTTTGAGTTTAACTAATTCGTCTTTAATATACATTATGTTAATTTTACACAAGGTGCACAGTTTACTTAAGAAGTCTTGAAGTTTTTCAATGTTCAATTTATGAGTGTCCATATTTTCCTTAAAATTAAAAAAGTTTGTTTACGATACTGATTTATGGATTTATTTACAATTGGAATGCAATTAGATCTATAAAATGCAATAATGTACGCAAAATCTAACTAATGAAAATAAAAATATTAAAGCGAATAAAACTAATAAATAGATTATATTTTCGTGGGGCCGGCGAAGACAGGAGCAACGAAAAACAACTAGTATTAATTCCACCCATAGAGACCTTTTGTTTGAAAATTGAAATTTATCATTTAAATTACTACACGAAAATAAGACTGACTTCTTCAATACCCTTGAAGTTTTACAACTTAAAATCTTTTTAAATTTTTTACTGTATGTCTGTATTTTATTGTATGTACTGTATGTCTTACATAGGTGGAACTATTTGACGTTTACATTATATTCAATGTGCACCTGTCGTTCTTCCCGGCCCCATTCCAAGCTGGACGGTAGTGACTCTTCAATATAAAACTCTGAGTTTTCAAACTCCTCCTTTTGTTTCAGTGGACTTTCCACGGTTTCCAATATAAGGGGTAGTGTTCGCACCTCGGTTACAGTTGATACCGCCATCGTATCGGGAACGCAGGTCGTGGACGCGTCGATTTTCTGCTTGTGTAAACCGCTCTGTCTGCTCAACTTCTCAAAATCGCCTGTTTCCGTTTCTGATTCGATATCCCTGTAAAGCAGCACATAATTAAACCCGGCACCAATGAACAATTTTAAGTTTTTATATAATACGCTCCTTTTTTGATTGAAGTGAGTATGTATGTTAGATAATGAACAGGTTTGTTTTCCTATGCCACTCTAATATAAGACTAACCAAAAACTAACATTTATTACTTGATATAAAAAATGCAAAAGGCTCAGACGAAATTCAATACAACTTTTATTACTTAAGTATTCAGGTACAATGTTCTAAAATATCAGCTACTTATACAAAAAAAAAAATTAATAAAAATTACGATTCGCACTTGGCGTACGTGAGCGCAGTGGGGATCGAATTAAGATGGGAAGATTAATTAGAGAAAGAACTCGCGCCCAGACATCTTACAAAAAAGAAAATTAGAACATAAAGCGTACTAGTCGCCATACCGTTGCATCGCTTAGTAGGCGGAGTTATGATGTACTGTCGTCTAACATTATTGTTCTGCCGTGATCTCTCGATATATAAAAATTCCAAATATTACTGACCAAGACAACACTTCAAATATACGATATAGTTTCAGACGTACATATATACGAGACAAATAAAATCAATATCTTACCTATCGAGGTCCACTTGAACATCAACATCCCTTTCATCGTGGTCAGATGCTGATAACCTGGAATCAAATTAGCAATATTAAGATGTCATCTATATTTAATTATATTATTTAATTTTTAATAATGAGTCGACCTAGCATCGCACGCGTAGCACTGAGCTTTCCGACCCGAAGACTAGGGGAGCGTAGTGGGATGACCTAGGGGGCGCTGTGGTACGATATTGCAAAGAGCTCCCAGATTCTATTTACATTTGAATCTCTTTAACAAATATTCTTCACGGAGCATTAAGTACCCCCAAATGTTAATCCTAAATTACAGTTAAGTGTATTACTATGTTACAAAGTTACCAAACAAAAATATGGTCCAGTTATAAATTGCTATTATGGTTCTCATTGTTAGTAAATATTAATAGATAGCCGTCATATATGTCTTTAGAACTCTTTGTAAAGAACAATTTCACATTTCATTATTTTTACATAACTCTATCGATTAATGGAAGCTCTATGTTTTTTCCGACTTTACCAACAAATATCATCATAACATTTATCACATTATCTAGCTTGCACAAAATGTTCATAAACTTTATACTTAAACATTTCTGTGAATTAGTTTGTCTATTGATGAAAACCAATGAAAATCTCTATAGTAGTTTATAACAATCTATAACCCATTGAACGACAAATTTATTGTCATAGCATAACGCCTGACACTTTTTATAATCAGTTTGAAATGAAAATTTAGCATTGAACTTAACTTATCTGCTAACGGAACACTATCAATAACAAACAAACCTTTGTCGGAAAAATTTCACTGTGGCTTCCATATCATAGTGGGGCACATTCTGGGCCAATTCTTGAAATGTATTAGAAATAAGCTGCACATCCTCATCCGTTATTTTCGGGAGGCGGGCGTCGAACGCAGGCGGCGCTTGTGTAGCAAATGTCGGTGGGAGGTCAGACATGCCTGGGAATAGATTCTTAAGAAAATGTCCGTCGAACAACGTATTGAAGTCTTGACGACGGTTTACTTCTTCTTCATGAATCTTTTGTAATTTCTCTGCGAGATCTGTTGCCCACTGCAAGTAACAAAATGCATTTAGACTACAAAGCTTTTCACACATATTACTGAAACACGATAATGCCGCATTCCATGTGGAAATAAAAGAATCAACAATATTGGAAATAAAACCATATATTTTTTATAATCACAGTTTAAAATTCAATATTTATACTGTGAAACCTTGATATTACAAATCTTAAGGAGATTAGGAAATATTCATTATACCACTTTTTGTTACAATAAGGTTTGTTTATACGGAGGTTAGGTTGGTTTAATATTAGTTTTAGCAAGGTAAGCAAACTTAAAAGAAGTAAAATACATTATAATGAATGCCTTACAACACTTCCTGGTTTGTTTTACGATAAATTCAACGTGTCTGAACCTGTAGAGAAATGAATTCTTGTTAGAAATGGATTGGTAGAATACCTTATGCAGAGGTTAATTATACTTTCTATTTATGTTTTGCAATGATTGAAAAATCGTTATAAAAAGGTTTTTACAATTTTTATTCATAATGTAATAGTATATCTTGCATTAACTCTTACTGCCAGTTCTAAGGGATTTCTAAAAATTTGTTAAATCGCGTAAAGAGTTATATTGATGCAGGTATAACGAAACCTACTAAACATATAATGTATTTTGTATTTTCTATACATTTCTCGTTGGTCTAGTGGTTGTAGTAGTGCGACTGATGATCATGAGGTTCCAGGTTCGAAAAAAAATCAGTTATTGAGCTTTTCCATCAAGAAATTTTCAGTAGCTACCCGGAGTCGGGAAGTTATCGGTGTCTCACGCCCGTGTCTCAGAAAGCCTCCGGTCGTGTCGGTTTACCGCCCCATCGGACTATGAGAGTGAGGGAATAAAGTGCACCTGTGCTTGCATATACACTTGCTCACTATAATCCTGTCCTGCAGCGATAGCTAGTCTCCGTTGAAGCTGACTGCCGTGAACGAAATTCGGTCTGGAGGATATTTTTTTTATAGGATAAGGGTGACAAACGAGCACACAGTCCACTTGATGGTAAGACGTTGCTTTGGCCCATAGACACCTACATCTATCCTCAATTAAGAATCAAAATGCAGACGCGTAGTCACCCTTGAGGACTAAGAGATGGAATACCTACCATACCAACCGCTAAGCGTGTGTGCGTGATCACGCACACACGCTTAGCGGTTGCTATGGTAACGGAATAAATAACTATGACTTACACCAGTGTCATTTTTTTTTTTTTTTGGAGTTTATGGCCTGGCATCTAGACCTTTAGGCCAAGTCTTGAGTATTTTTATTCGGTTTATTATAATTTCCCCACTGTATTTTTGATGAATTTATATAGAGGCACGTAATAGGATCTATTTTTTAACATATCACTCAGGCGGCGGGAGGGATCTTGCACTGTCACTTGATTTTGCACTATGTCACTAATTTCACTGACAAGAATCAATCTGTCAAATGAAAAGCACTCACATGTAAATATGAAATGTTCGATATCACCAACAGAATTATTGCAGAAGGTGCAGTAACTGCTCTCCACTATGCCCAATCGAGCCAGGTGGGCCGGGACGGTGGAGTGACCAAAGCGCAGTCTATTTATAGTGGTAACAAAGTCCCGACTGGCCATTTTCAGTTTGTTATACCATGGTGCTACAGGTAGTTTTTCTTGAACAGTTCCATACCATTTACCCTTCTGTTCTTGATCTTGTTTCCAAAATTCGACCCATAAGCTATTGACCTGGTTGTCAATAGATTGATAACAGTCGGTCAAAGGTACTTTTACTATGGAGCTAACATCCAACATGTTGGTTCCATCACGTGCAATTTTATCTACTATCTCATTTCCTGTTATGCCCCTATGTGATGGAATCCACATGAAAGAGACCTGTATACCCTTTTTTGCATAACTAAATAACAATTTTTTAATATTATACAAAATATAGTTTTTTTTAAAGTCAAATCTGAGATTAGTTAAACTTTGGACCATACTTAAACTGTCTGTTAAAATTAAAAAATTATTAAAACTATTTATATGTGCAATCCTCTTCAGGGCCTCGAGGGCCGCATATACCTCTGCAGTGAAAACACTGCATTTAGGGTCCAGAAGAAAACTTTGACCAAACTTGCATTGTGGATCATAAACGGCACTGCGCACAAAGAGCTCACTTTTGCTACCATCTGTATACAAAGTATAGTAGTTATTGTCGGAAATAAAACTTAATAATTCACAATTATTAAAAAAATTTTTGGTAACAATATTGGTCTCAAATATAATACAGGAATATGGGTATGTGTAGCATGTCCACTTTGATTGTTTAATTACATTTTTAAAATCTTCATTCATTTGCTGTACAATGAGAGGCAAAACTGGAAAATAACCTTGTAAAAGCTCACCTCCCGAAGTCTGCTGGACCGAACATTGTAAAGGAAAAGGTACTATTTTTTTGAGAACATTATCATTACCAGATACCAGCTTTAGTAAATATCTCTCTATTAGCAGAAGTCTTCTAAGACACAGTGGCATTATTTTGGTTTCAACTTCCATAGCTCGTATGGGAGTTGAACACATAGCCCCAGAAATAATTCGCAGAGCTTTGTTTTGAATTATGTCTAGTTTTTTTACACAACTACTATTTGAGTAGGCTAAACAACTGTAGTCGAAATGGCTTCTGACTATAGATTTATATAGCATACTTAAAACTTTGGGGTCTGCACCCCAAGTCACACCAGCTAAACATCTTATAATATTTAAGCCCTTAAGAGAGTTAGTTATAATGTGATTGATGTGTAAATTAAAACAAAGTTTGTTATCAATGACAACACCCAGGAATTTATGGTTAGATACAACTGAAATTGGATGATTATTGTAGAGTATGCCATTAGAGGGAAAATCTTTACTAAAAATCATGGCCTTGCTTTTGTTAGGGTTAATCTGTAGAGCCAACTTGTCATTATAATATATGTACAATTGCTCTAAAGCATTATTTATACTATTTACAGCTCTATCTACATTATGGTCTGTACAATATATTACAAGATCATCCGCAAATTGTAAAATATTTACACCTTCTATATTTACAAAATTAAGAATTTGACTAGTGTATATGTTGTACAACAATGGAGATAATGTAGCCCCCTGCATTGTACCTTTGGAGACCCTTCTGGGACCATGGAGAATATTATTATGCCTTATATACAAAGTTCTATCTATTAAAAAATTAAATAACCATTGGCAAAGTATGCCTGGTATACCAATGTCAGAAAGAACTTGAACCAAAATGCCAGGATCTACATTATCAAACGCACCTTCAATATCCAGAAAAACACAAACACTGGACTTATTATTATTATTGGCATATTTCAGATCTGACAAGAGAGAGATGAAGCTGTCAGCACAACTTCTGCCTCTCCGGAAGCCATATTGAACATGTGGAATGATGTTGTTCGCCTCTACATAACACTCAAGACGCATCTTTAACATGTTTTCATTAAGCTTTCCAACACAAGATGACAAAGATATAGGACGATATGAATTAGGATCTTCAGGTGGCTTGTCAAGCTTAAGTAGAGGGATTACACACTGTGTTTTCCAAGATTCAGGAATTTTTTTTAAGTGCCAAAGAGCATTAAGATTAGCTAATAGTTTCTTTTGTACGGACTGATTTAGGTTTTTGATCAAAATGTATGGACAATTATCTAAACCAGGGGTTGTGTTTCGTCTGGATTGTAAACTTGTACAAAACTCACTCCAAGTAAAGGGTTCTATGAGGAAACTGGACTTCTGAAGACTATTATTAATTTGAAAATAACTTTCTAGATTATCAATAACCCTACATCCATTTCGAGATAATTTGTCTAAAAGAGGGACTACAAATTCGTCTTTATATGTTCTATTATTGCATTTTATTCGTTTAAATAACTTGATGTATTTCCAAATAATACTAACAGGTGTAGTTCTGTTAAAAGTATTACAAATGTTAGCCCAACCATTGCGTTTATGTTCTGAAATAGTCTTTTTCTTAACAGCATTAAGTCTTTTGTAATTAATGTAATTATCAATGGTTGGATCTCTTCTGTACAGTTTTAAAGCTTCATAAGTTTTAATAACACTCTGTTCACATGTGTCACTCCACCAAGGTGCTGGAGGTTTGCAACGATAGTTGTTTGCTTTGACAAACTTTGGCACAGTATCTCTCCTAAGTGTATCAAGCCTTTCAATAAATTCATCATATGACTGTAATGGATTCTCATTATTAACTTCAAAATTAGAAAAAGCAGTTATAGACAGCTCATTGTATTTTGTCCAGTCTGTCTTGTTGTATAAGAATTTTTCAATGGGAGGATTAATTTGGTATCTATCAACTGACAATGAAACACGAGTAAGCGTAGGAAAATGATAGCTCCCCATACAATCATCATGCACCCACCATTCGCATAGTGGAGTGATTGAAGCACTACAAAAGCTGACATCAATAGCCGATGGATTTCGGTTAGGATAATTAATAGTAGTGAAGCTACCATTGTTGAGGACACATAGATCAAATTCATCAATTAAATCGTATAACTGATGACCCCGACTTTTCGTGGTCATACATCCAAATGCCACATGGTGAGCGTTGAAATCTCCAGCCACATATATTGGCTTAGGCAAATCTCTAATTATATCACGCAGTTTACTTATTCTGAAGTTACCATTCGATGGAGGGCAGTATACACATAAAATCGTTAATTGTTTACCACTTACATATAACAATAATGCCACAGTCTGAATGTCTTGGTAAAATCTGGTTTGAATAATATTATATTTAAAATACGGTTTGATCAAAATTGCTACTCCACCATGCTCATTTTGGGCATTATGATAGTGGAAATTATATCCCGAAATGTTAAAATGCTGAGTATCTTTCAGCCAAGTTTCATTGAGTAGACAGATATCAACATTTTGCTCATCTAAAAATTTAGACAATAAGGATTTTTTCCTATGTATACTTTGAATATTGTACTGAGCTATACATAACTGCTGTATGTTCTGTACTGTACTGTCCATTATTGTGACAGATTTTTTAAAAGTAAGTCTTTAATGAACAGTGTAGTCACAGGTTCATTATCTGTTTTATTACCTAATTCGACTAAAGTTTGGACCATTGCCATCAAAATATTCTTATTGTTTGCAATTTGAGCCTTAAGTTGAGTTTGGTTCAAGTTGGGTTCAGGCACTGTTTTATTTACATTATTTACAATTTTTACATTTTTATTTAATTTATGTACATTTTGGTTTATTGATGGTAGGGTTACAATGCTGCTCGACTGTGCAGGTAAAGACGGAAAATCAGATGACTTAATTGTATTAGCTACAGAGGCATAAGTAATTTTACCCTTTTTTTCAAGTATTTTTTTCATTTTTATTGGGCAAGATTTGGAAATGGCCAGGTGGGGACCACTGCAATTGACACAACACAGGTTTTCTTTTTTATCACAGTCTCTGAAATTATGTTCCCCAGCACATATCGAGCAACGTTGTTTACCATTACAAATTTTCGCAGGGTGGTTGAACTTGAAGCACCGGAAGCATTGTTGTAACGGTGGGATATATTCAAACACCCTGAACGAAAATAGGTCATATTGGATGTTGTCGGGCAGAACATTTGATAGGAAAGTTATACTGACCGTCTCGAGACCTACAGTACTTTGACCGACTTTTTTCGTGAATCTTCTCACTGAAATAATTTCATAAATCGAAGACAATTTCGTATATAATTCCTTGTTCGAAATGTTGGTAGGCACATATCGGATGATTCCAGTTTTTTCTATCTGCGCTGCAGGAATATGCGCCTTTAAGTTGTGCTTTGTTAAAAAGTCTGTATTTGTGATGAAATTAATTTCAGTGTTGTATTGTTTAAAAACAACCGCAATTTTGTTGGCATTGACTCTATGTAAAGCTACCACACCTTTCACCTCCGAAGTAAAAATATGATTTAAGTAAACTGGGCTTTTATTTCCAAGTTTAACCTGTTTGTCCTGGCTTTCAACAAAAACTTTGAAGTCCGTATTTGTACAATGTTCAGGATAAAGTCTCAGATAACCTGGCTTAAAAAACGGAATAAAGTCATCCTCACCGCCGCCTACTTCAGGTCCACTTTCCTTCGTACCTCTTTTACGAACAATTTTGGATCGTTTCGGGGTTCCACCTGGATCCTCCGGTTCATTCATTTTAACAATTTACAAAATGTACAATTATTTACACCGAACAGGATATTTTAACGATAAATATAAAAATTAAATCGACCGCCTCGTTTGGAGTTCCCGCCAAAAAAAAACGCGTAGTCTACACCAGTGTCATTTGTATCTGGGAGATACCAGCTAATGAATCTATCCCGATAAAATGGGGAAAAACTGTAAAATTGTCATGTTAATAAAATCATAAATTATAATATTTTAATATGGTGCTTTCAGTTGTGTGTTTAGTTGTCTAATGAGTGAGAATCTAATTTTTTTTTGTAAAGAAAAATATAATCAAATTAAAATCAATTTACGCATTTACAAAATATGTTTTATTGTCTAAAGTATGATATTGACTCATAAAAATACAAGAAATTGGCTGGCGATTTCGTCTGCGTCATAGTTAAATAATTTATCCCGCAGGTAACCTTTACCGTATTTTTTTTTAAATTTAATAGATTATTTTAAGAAGAATTGTTCTGTCCTGCATTCTTGTTCCAGCAAGAGTTGATATATGTGTGCCCCATTGAAGCTTTGCAACTAAGGTCAACCCCAGGAACACAGTAGTCTCTTCTATTTTCAATCTATCATTATTTAACATTAAATGTTTGTAACTACTAATTTAATGGCCCTCTTTTTGAATTTGTTTTGTAAATAATTTGAGTTTTGAGGTTGCATCACTTTTTACATTATCTAATTTAGCTATATGATAACAGAGTATGGTTAAATATTTTTCGGCGACCAGTCATATTAGGTTCACTTGGTGAAGAGACTCACATGCGTGTTCAGTTGCAACTAAACTACAAGTCCTTTTCACGAAAATGTTCTGAGCATATCACTGTGGTTTTGGATGATTTCCAGTACACTTCTCTACGGATTTTTTCATTATGTCCACCCATAATTCTAATTCTAATTATACTTCTAATTATAGGATCAATAGGTATCTTAACATCATGTATCCAAATGGTCACATTCGATTTTGAAAATTATTAAACGATATTATTTAGTAATACAAATAAAAAAGAGAAAAAATATTTAAGACTAAATAAATAACACCCGACTGCGCGGAAGCTTGCAAAACAAGAACAATCGGTCCATCCGTTTAGGCTATAGGCTCAGCCAAACAATTTTTGAAATATACCCACATACACATACATACACACACCATGATGTATTTCCTCCTTCTGGTGCAGTCGGGTAAAAATGAACATACATCAACTTTTAAGACAACTATACAGGGAAATTTTCAATCCAAAGCTAGCAACACCAAAAAATGACGCGTTGATTTTGTAAACAAAATTATCAAATTATTAGTTTTGTTTTCGTAAATTACTACAAGTTATGAGTTATTTATCGATGGTAAGAGATTTTGTTTTTTTTCACCAAAATAATTTACCTCAAAAAAAAAGCCGTGCGTGCGTATCTCTTGGCGTTACAGTTGACAGTGAGGAGCGGGGATCGCTTTAGAGGCTAACAGTTAGCTGATATTTTTTTCGACGCTTTTGAGCCGCCGTTACTCTATCTAGAGTGTAAATAATCTAAGCACGTAATACGATCGAGTTAGGAGCGGTAGTGGCAGATAACATTTTTATTACACCTACTTCATGCTATCTCTGCATAATCCCAAGGTAGACTGGTAGAGAATGCCTTAGGCATTAAGTCCGCCTATATAGCACATGTGTATATGAAGTTTTACATAAATAAACAACAAAGGAACCTGGAGGTGTGCGGCGGAGAAGGCGCGGCGGCGCGCGACCTCGTGCGCGGCGCGCACGAACACGGCGGGCGCGCGGTGCAGCTGCGCCACGATGCCGAAGTAGCGCGCCAGCCGGTTGAAGCACTGGAACGACAGCATCGCGTGCGCGTCCTGCACCGACATCGAGTTCTCGATCATCAGCACCGCCCTGCCGCCAACCGACCGCCACACTTAATCACGCCTCATTATCTTACGCTCACCTCATGTCGCTGTCGCTAGTCCCTCTATGGACCGCCGTTACGCATAAAACATTTTTAGAGAAGAGATGTCGTACTTTCCAACGAAATAAAAATGATCTATTTATTTTGTGGGGTTTTTATTGTTCTTTGATTTTCTGTTAAATTTTGAGGTTAGTTTTGTAACAAACCTTCTGCCAAAAAAAAAACAGTCCTTACAACCACATGATGTCAAGTCTCATAAGACGACAGAACATAGTTCCAACCAATGAATGATCCCAAATAAATAATATTACAATTGTTTGACTTGACAATGACACTTTTGACTGTTCACCTTTGCATTTGCCCGTGGTAGTGCTACCTACAGTTAATCTAAATCACCCTGACCGTAAATGATTTGTAAGTAAAGAAAGATTTTTAATTAGTAAAGTTATATTATTGTATTTGTTACTTAAAAATAAAAATATTAATAACGCCGAAAAATGTCATAGTTGAAATTATTTTTAAATCTCAAGGTCTGACCTTACATTAGTTATGGGGATGGGGAGGTATTTAAAATTGGCAACACTACTTTCACTAAAGTACGCCATTTAAAAAATAATGCGATAAAATGGAATAAATAACTTATTAGACACCAAATATTAACTCCACATAAGATTTCGATCAAGTTAACTAAAAAAAAAATATTTTATAATTTATGAATACATTTTTGTGATTATACTGTTTTATAATAAAGCGATTCTAATTTTGGTCATTGGCCTTTGTCATGCAGATGGTCACACAGTATAATCATTAATCATCATTGAAAAGTTACGTTTTAATTGTTTTTCGGTTTCTAGTGTATGTCAATTCATTGCATTATAATATAATATACAATAAATAGGCATACCTACCACAAAACAATGCTTCAGTGATGCGTACTTTAATTTTTTACACTTTTAGGAATTGATTTTTCCGTTTCTAATTGAATTAATATAATATACATATAACTAATATTTCAGAAAGAAACATTAATTTCTACATTTATAAATTCTGTCAAATATTTTACATCATTCTTAAGTGACGCCACACTGTTGGTGGAAAATATGTGAATATCCTCATTCGTATCGTTCAGCAATCTATGTATTAGGCCTGTGTTCAACAGTGGACTTTTGATAGGGTGAATGATGAAAAAAAATTTTAAATTATTTTCGACTTTTACTTACTAATGATAAAAATATATATACTGATAAGTATACTGACAACAGCAACATTGTGGAAAGATACCAGACTGGGTTAACATAAGTAACTCTTAGTGATTATGTAACTTCTGAACAACTTATCCAATTAAGGTCATATTCACACAATACTATGCGTTTGATGAGATGATGGTTCATATCATAGAATCCCAACAGTAACACTATAGTGAAGTTATTAACAATTCCATAATTAAAATTACTCATATTAGCAATATTTGCCAAACAATCATAAAATGTTGGTCGTTAGAGTGTGGCTGAAAACTGATGGCCATCATTGTAATTTTTTTCCTAATTCTTTCAAAAACTTGATATATAAAATGACAATGTCACATTAGGACAGATGGACAGGATGAACTTCAAAGGTTCCTTGTATGACTGCACACTAAGAAAATAAATAGAAAATGTATGTTTGTTTAATTATTTGAATATATCATGACATAAAGGATCGACTCTAAATATTATATGGCGTGTATGCAACTGGTATTTAACAGACGACCACAAAAAAAGGTTCATACAAAACTCAAATAAAATTAAATATATTTACTTACTCCAATCTAGCCTTCAATATATGTGAGAGTTCATCCTTCGAATTTGCAATGCGACGTCGAATATCAACCAACACTTGATGTCCATTTAGAAGTTTTTCCAACTGACAGCAGTGTGATTGTACTAGAGTTGGCAATACTGAAGGGTCGCACGCAGAATTTAGACGCTCACGGTACTGGAAATTATTATAAAAAACTTTGATTTTTTTTCTATTTTTAATATCCTTTTTAATTCAAAACATCAATATTGTATTATCTTTAAAATTCGCAAATATCAAGCCTAATATTTTTTTTAATATTGTTTTTTATCTTTTTAAAAACGTTACCTCCATCCATCCATCCTCCACGTTACCACATTGATTTTCTCCTGTATCGTGTTATATTATAGTTTACATACATAAATTTCACAAGGACAACATCCAGACCCGGAACACTTATACGTAGGCCACACAAACACTAGTTCCGTGCGGGATTCGAACTTCTTCGAAATTCGAAATGCGCTGCAACTCATTGGTAAGCCACTGCGCCACAGAGCCGTCAAATAATGACATCATATTGATTATTTCAAGCATAGAGTTCAATATTTATTAAATATTTTTTGTTTCTTTCGTCTTTACATTAAATATTACTTTGTTACAAAATATCACACTTAAAAATATTGTCTGACTGTATAATTTATAAATTGAAAAAAAAAGCTACACCATAGTTAATTAATAGAATCAGGCGTTAATTTGCGGAAGTCCATTATATTAAAGTTGGTAAAAAATTACTTCGCGTACATCCGCTCGATAAAATAAAATGATGTGTCTTGCCAAGTTTGAAGAGCACCCCCCGCCCTCCCTCAATTGCTAAGCGCAAGCTATCGCTAAGCGGTCAGCGGTACCTGAAGATGCCTCATGTGGAGGCGAAACACATGTCGTATTGTCGTCAGTGCTGTGTTTTTCCTAGTGGGGTGGTGCAGGGATTAGTGGTGACGGTGATAGTGCACGCAATTGAGGGACTGCGGGAGGTGCTCTTCAAAATAGGTAAGATCTGGCGGATGTACGCGAAGTAAAACTTTAAACCATAGTTGTAATTGATCTGTACTCAGATTATATATAAATAATTAAGTTGCTTGTCTTAATTTCATCTAAATATATATATATATATATATATATATATATATATATATATATATATAATTCCGGATACAAATTAAATTCAAAGGCGACGTGAAAAGAGTTACAGGGATTTGAACATTTATTTCCAGTTAATGTATAATATTGATTGATTTCAACCTGTATCAGCGACGCTGCTTGATCATGCTGGTCCCGCTCAATTTTCTTAACTTCACTTAAAAGCTGATCGAGACCGTACAAGCGATCTTCGATACCTTTGATTTGCTTCAGGCCGTGCATGTTAGCATACTCAAGTATGTGATACAGCTCTGCTTCTCGTTCCTTGAGTGGTTCTGCGTCGATCTGAAATATTTTTATTAAATTTCAACATTTTTATTCATTTATAGTACCGTAAAAGAATCCATCACATGGAAATACTAGAATGCGCTCATGGTTTAGATGACGGTTTAATTCTAATCTACGCTAGACGTAAAATCTGAAGGCAGGCGACGGCACGCAGCGTCAATGGTGCGAAGCGTCTTGCCAATCCGCCAGCCAAGCGTGACTGAAATGGCAAAGCCTTACTGCAACAGGATACTGTCATGTGCCCAGCAATGGACTTGTGCGGGCTAATGATGATGATACCTTTATGAAAAGACCTTAAATTTCTAGGACTGACTGAAATTTACCTTGTGGGTAATACAATACCTCAAACGTTTATATACGTGGTAGAGCCATGCTGCAGCTATATTAGTAGTATAGTTGTAGCACGAATGGGTCGGCTCGACCAGAGAAGGAGAGCGTGGCTCTCACAGAATACCAGCGTAAAATAGTAGTTTAATACTACTGTGTTTCGTATGCTCAGTGTAGAGAACCGGAGACCCTTTTTACTGGAAAAGAGGCATTCCATCTTAGTCCTCACGGGTGACAACGCATCTGCATTTTGATTTGCAAACGAGGATAAATGTAGATGTCTATGGGCCACAGCAACCACTTACCATCAGGTGGACTATATGCTTGTTTGTCACCTTATCCTATAAAAACAAACTGTATGGCGGCGACGTAAGAAAATCCATTACCCCATTATTTTAGGCCAGACGTAAAATACCCAGACTAGTGACCAGGACCAGTGTAACCACAGGTGCAGGAGTCTGGAGCCTGCAAAGCGTACGGATTAAGGTGATTAAATCCTCCCTTAAACGGGAGCGGCCCATGTCCAACTTTTACAGGCTTTAGTTGATTATAATGATGATGATTGTACAATACCTGAAGGTTAACATTTTTAACATTTAAAAATATTTCTAAAAATAACTGCAATTGGAAATTTTAATTAGATTTTTCTTTATGAAAAGAAAATAACTATTTCATTTAATGAGTACATTATGTATTAAGTTAATATTAACCTTGGCGTAATTCAAAGGCTTTTAACAATAAAAAAATGTTTATACGGTGTCTGTGACCTTAAGACATAATTAGATAAAAATTATGATAACTGATAAAGAAATAGCATTTTAGGTAGATCATTATTTTTTAGTGAATCATAATACAGATTTGTTACCTACACTTGCACTACTACTAACACTTCAGCTTTCAAATACCAGTCACTCTCCAAAATATTGATTAAACGATCTATAGATGTTAGTGAAATCAAGCAATGGTGCATCTTACGTCAAGCATACATATTTATGTACACTATAATATATCCTACCCAATTGAAAGGTTCCAGATTAGTGAATAAAATCGACCAGGAGAAAATCATTATCATTAATTTGTACACAATATCAAATACATCTAATTCCGAACTTTAATTTAGATTATAAATCTAATATTATGTAAAAACTAATTTTTGTTTGTTTGTATTTTATGAGCTGCCATACCGTTCATCAGATTGAGCTAAAATTTTTGCTTGCACTTGCAAGGCATAGTACAATTAACTTATATATGTCATTCAATTTCAATGCATGCTTTATCATTCCTAATTAAACAATATAACCCTTCCAAATTTAAAACGATATTTCCATAAATATTTTTTCCAGAGCACTAACTAGTTTGATATATTTATTTTTAAATTATGGATCTAGGATCTCAATCGGACATTTGGACATTTGGTTAAGTCTAATGACGACGCGATTGTCATGAACTAAATCCCCTACGCTACTAAACGAATGTGCTTTCCGAGGTATGCAAAACAATACCAATTTCCTGACTCTGGGCTGCTACTGAGAATTTTTGGACAGAAAAACCCAGGGGTAAATTTTTGATCTAACCCCGGATTAGTACAATGACTAGATAAACAAGACAGTCAAATGCAGAGGCAGTGAGAGATTATGTCAGATGTATCAGAAAATTATTTAAAACAATGAGTAATCAACATTAATATGTTGTATATTAAATAATGTCTGCACATTATTACTTACCAAAGCTAGTCCTTTTTCGCAGTAGTCTAAAATATCTTGCAAAGAGGCTTTATTCCCTTGAGCGAGAATCCAATGCAACAAAGTTGGCTCTTCTTTGGTCTCGTAAGAACTTGCTTTAAAAGTAACCCCTTCATCAGACTCCTCAATTTGTTGCATTGCATCTGAAGATTCTGCTCCTTCTTTACTTGTAGTTGGATGTTTTTGATCAAATACTATAATAGAAATAGTTGCCAAAATATTCTTAACATATGATAAAAATCACTAAAGATTTGATAGAATAGAATTTTTTCAATTGAGATTGAAAAAAATTATTATTACAGATACAGATAAATTATGGTTGTAGCACAAATGGATCGGCTAATCACATATTCTATTCATATTTTAGTACATACAAACAAACATTTACATTTTAATTTAAATAGGTTCAGATTTCGTTGATTACATTTACATAACCTATTTAAATAAAAGTGGAAATGTTTGTTTGTCTTAAATCTCTAAAAGTTCCTCACAAATGGCTTAATTTTGACACAACACTAAACGGCGAATTAAATTATTTCTAATAAATTAATTTTAAGTTTGTTTACAGGTATGGAAAAACCGAAGACCAAAGAAGCAAAATGCTACTGAGTTGTATTTTATTAACTAACACATTTTAGACTAATACCTTTTAAAAGGTGTAACCGCAGGACGCCCGTACATAACATTATATTTACACTAACAATAATACGGTCGTGAGCGCAGGACGACTGTATTATTTATAACAATAATTATTTAGGTGTTGCTTAGAATGTATATGTAAGTCGGAGAAAAAGTTTTATAGGTGAACTCCTTTTCTGGCTTGGAATCCGTTTAAGTAGGTGCCACCTTCTTACTTATTTCTGCCACTAAATAACAGTGCTTGCACTGCTGAGTTCCGCTCTGAAGGGTATACGAAGCCAGTATAATTGCAGACTGTGAGACACTGCATCTTAATCCTCAAAGGTGACAACGCATATGTAACCTTCTGCATTATTCATTTACCAGGTGGACTGTAATTTCGTTTGTCACAATAGTTACAACATTATAAAATAATATCAAACAGGTAATGCTAATCGATAAAAATTTACCATCTTCCTCTGACAACTTGAATGCTTCTACTCCAAAGTCCTGATATGCTCTGTTTTCTGAGCTATTGTCTAATGGTTGATTTATCCTGTAATGATGACCCTCGAAATCCGTGTCCTCAAATACATCGAAAGCAGAGAACCTGTGCGCTTCAGCTTGTAATTGAAGTGCGGGGAGGATTGGAATCTTCTTTAATGACTTTAAAACATCATTGAGGCTACAGAATGAAGACATACACATCGTGTATAGCATTAAGAAGGTAAATAATGCAATATCAACTAAAGAAAACATTAAAACTTCAACGGACTAGAATAGAAATGTAACATGTTACATGTATTACCATAAATTTTAGTATAGCAAAGGTGAACTGCTTTAGCATAAGCTTAGGCCAAGGTTAAGAGTCGACATTGGTAAATGCTTTGTTATCAAAGACAGTTTAACTTTTTATTGAATCTGATATAAATTTGTTTTGTACTTTTAAATACAAAATATCGCTATCGAACATTATAGCTTAAAGAAATAATTTTAAGGACATAATAATATGCTTATATTCATCTTTAATATTGTTGCAATAATGTTTTAACAAATATTTTTCTTGGGAGGTAAAAATAATTTTTAATACTTACGTATTTAACATTTCATGATATTCCTCCTTCTTTAAACGATGTTTCCTAAATGATTCTTTGAAACTTCTTGACCGTTCACAAAATTCATTAAATATGTCCTCTAAGTTAGCAACAACAGCAGCCCAACCCTGAACAACACATTGTCAGTTAAATTTATATGACTAGCACCACTGACTGACGTGCTAAATACCGACATTTAATATCCCGCAGTGGCTGGCTGGCTACTCATGAGACGCCTCGTCCAGACAACACAGTAAGTGAACAACCCAAATTCAATCCCCGCGACACCAACAAACTTGTTAATTGCAATTTAAAGTGTATATTAACGAAAATATTGTGAGAAAAGATATTTTATAATTTTAATTTTATATTTTGTAATGAAATAGAAAATGTTATTAATTGGGATTTGATACTAATATGGTGAATTAAAAAAACTTTGCAACAAATTTAATTCAAACTTACTTGATGTTGTAGATGTTGTTCAAGAACTAACTGGTCACAACTCCTAGACACATCATGAGCAAGGTCACTGAACTGCTGAGCCAATGTGGCACATGATATTACTGTATGAACAGTTGGAGGTAATGAACAGCACATTTCAACAGAACTCCTTAAGTCGACAATCGACTTCCCTTCAAAAGCGCTGCGACTATCACTTCGAAATGCTCCTGTACTTAATTCCACAATGGGGCTGAGGTCTCCTACCACTAAAAATTAAATAAGTTATCAGGAAGATGTTGCTGCCCATCATTGTTATTCTGGGGTTCTGCCCATAGTGGATATTCCTAAACCGCCAGTATACAGTACCTGACACACGGTTTTGGTACACAGTTAGTTCTGCCTATAGTGGATGTTGGAGAACAAATGCAACGACAACGGTGGCAGTGCAGTGGGGACAGCGGGGAAGCGCACCTGCACTCAGCACAGTCATTTCCTGTATGATCCACAGGTGTTAAGACTATAAGACTAAACAATAATTGTAATTCAGTCTTTTTATTGAAGTCCCTAGTGACCCTAACAGTGGATATTTTTGATGCCACTTACTACACTAGCGGTTTTAGTACATAGTTATTGATTGCAAATGATTAAAGATGCATATGTGTGTTCTTATAATAGGTTGAGCATGGTTTAACTGTCACTTGAAATATATGTATTGTTCTATCATTGCTATTATGAGAATTATGACTTTTAAATTTATTTTAAATATATAGTATAAATTTTACTTATTCTAAACCTTCTTTGTGAATTTGGATGGTTATTGCAAATTAATTCTATATAATAATAAAATTTAATAGACTAAAACAGTGTGTGTCTATCAGTCACTGACCTTTCTCATCAATGATAATTTATTGGAATTCATTAAAAAAGTTTTGTAATTCTAAATTATGTTTTAGTCTATTAGAAGCTTCAAAACCTCTTAATTATATTATATAGAATTATTCATTCATTATGCCTAAATTCTACTGCTGAATATAGGTCTCCCCATAGTATACCTTATAAGGGGGATATTTGCCGTAGTTGCCATGCATGGCAGGCAGGTTGGCAAGTGCAGCTTTTTGGTTTGCTTCCCTCCATTGTCCAACAAAACCCATGGGACAATATGGGGTAGTGGATATTCTTACATCACCACTACACATATTAATTATACATCAAAACAAAAACTGTGAATTATTAAGAAGTGTTAGATTAATATGTACAGTAATATTTAATCTGTGTGTTACACAGATTAAATATTCATCATCATCATTACAGCCCTTCACAAGTCCACTGCTGAACATAGGCCTCCCCCAAAGAATGCCACAAAGCACGGTTCTGAGCCACCTGCATCCATCGACTTCCTGCATGTCTTTAAATATTACTGTACATTATAATACTTACTTGATTGTTTTATTCTACTATCTTTGACTGAAGGTTTGCTGAACATGTATATGGGATTAGTATCTGTTCCAGCACTGTATGATGAAACCATATGATCAGATTGCAGAACTTCACCCCCACTTACAAGAAGAACAAGAGAAGTTGCTGAAATTTTGGTTTTCCTCTCTATAGCAGCTTTTAAGCTAGACACACTGAAAATAATATTGTAAAATGTAATAAATACACTAAACCACTAATTTCAATTATAATAATCATATATAATATATATTTTTGATGTTTCAAGTGCTTTGAAGCACAAATAAAGCAGGGGAATTAAGAATAAATTTAACTTTCTTATCCCATACTTAACTAGGACTAACTTCAGCATTGAATTGACTATTAAGAATATGCTTAGGAGTCAAATTATAATACAATTCCACGTCAAGGACAACATAATAATCTTCTATACTGGCATTAGAACATTAAGTACCACAAAATCTATACAATTAGTTTTTTTTATTGATCATAGTCACAAATGTTACATACAAATGTTATATAAAAAATCATTATAACATAAAAATTAGGCCCTACAAATTTAATTAATACATCTTACTAACCTTTGGAGTGTAAGGTTCATATCATATGTGGTCATTTGACCAGCATCCACATGGAAAACATACAACATGTTGACAGTTTTTAGAGGTAAACCATAAACAATAACACTAGTCCAACCTCATACTATTATTGAAATGGGAATATTAAATGCTGTAATAAGTTTAGAAAAATATTAATTTTCAATAAGTTTATGCTTTAAAGTGAACTTGTAACAAGAGAACACTGCAAATGTATTACTAGAATGATAACTACGCGTAACTTTGCCATAAACAGTCGTCTTTATCATTGTGACCTCATAAAACTACTGAATTATTTAATATATGATGGTCTCTTTGTTACATAAGAATGAACTAACAATGGAATTTTAATTTTAGAATAATATGTGAAATGTTATTCGAACAAATTAACAGAAAATCATTCACCTGATTTTTTTATAAACAACAACTCAAAATAAACAATAACGCCACGGTAAATAATCTAAATATTTATTGCTGTTTGAATATTTAAGGACTAAAACTATGCTCACTATACTTAGAACTTAAATAAATTTGCAGAAGTATGTATGGCTATCAAAATTAAACGTGTTGTTTTTTGCGTTTGAACAACAAAGATTTGCGGATTTGATGTGCACTTACACAAACAAAAAATGAGGTTCCAACAACATTTCAATTGAGCATTACGAAGTGTCAATTCATTTTGATAAACGCGAAAATGTAATATTATTACGTAACAAAATAAAAATATTTAGACAAAAATAAACGCTAAATTTACTGAACAATAGTTAATAATTTAATCTTTAGGTCAATACCACTCTCTCTACTGCTCACTTTACTGACAGATACTGATACAGTGTGACCATCGTGAAAATTGAGGTGCAGCACTGATTAAAATCTACCAGAATTTACTAATTCCACCTAAAATTTCCAAAACATAAAAAATATGCTAAAAAGCGAGTACGAACAGTAAGCACGGATATGAACAGTCTCGAAATTGCAAGGATATGCTTTGTATGTAGCCTTATTCAACTATCGCCAATTTAGTACTATATCTATGGTTTTATGGATCTGCTAAAACCTACCTTATAATTACCCACCTATTTATTATTTACTACATAAATGCCTAATTTATACTATTATCTGAAGTTCAATAAAGCCCGCTTTTCACTATGGGATATAATATAATATATATTACATCTCGAGATATAAATTAATATCGCTCACCATACATTTCATATGGAACCGTTTACACTGAGCTATAATATATATTACATCTCAATCTATAAATATTTTTTCGATCAACCGAGCGATATTTTCATATTATATTTCGCCCACTGTACCCCGCACACCGTTCCGCGCCCACGCAGAATGGTGTACAGGGTAAAGGGGGTAATCCAATGACCAATGACGAACGCACACTTTAAAAGATATTAGATATAGATTCACAGTATGAAAGCAAATCGCGGGATATAATTTATATTTCGGGATCTAATTTATATTATATCCCACAGTGAAAAACCAGCCTAACGCATAGGTGTCAATCTTGGGGCATCACTATTAAACCACTTCATCTATATATCAGTATCTATAGAACATCCTGTGGTTGTGTGGTTGGCATGATGGGCAATGAGCGATACGAGAATATCAGTGACCTAAAAAAATATTCTTTTGGACCTGTGTATTTGAAGTTTTTACAAAATGATTTATATAATCTCATAGAAGAGGTGCCTTTGGCGGTCCGTCGCAGTATGTGAGTGCTAAACGATGGATGAGCAGCACATTACACTACGCCCGTAAGGCTTCAACGAGCTGTATCCTAACAGATGGATGGACCATTTGGGACCTCTTTTGTGGCCACCACGATCGCCCGGCCTAAACCCACGTATTCATCATCTTTTTGCAACGTTTTATTAGCTTTATTCACGCCCCATCATGTCGGTACAGCTAAATAAAACCATAATTTCATTAAAAAATACTTAAACATTAAACCAGCAGTGAAATTTAAAATAAATAAGTCATAAAATCAGTTGACAATATGGTCAATATGCTCGGGGACGCGGAAACAATGCCTACTCACTCTACCCTTCCCTTTCACACACGCGCTACCGCCGCCTAGCCAGCTCGTGTCGCCTCGCGGTGTGGAATTTACACTTGTTAGCTTTGCCAACATGTGGGGAATACACAAAGTTGAAAATTGAATTTAAAGTTGGTTGGGGATTGGTATTGAAAAGGAACGCGCTTCTTAATCCGGCTGCGAAGGAGCAATTGAAAAGGAACGAGGGAAGGGTTTGGTCACGGCTCGTTCAACAGCGGATTTCGTAACCTCCTATGACACCTACGTTGGGTTCGGGAACAACGTATGTGAACCCCGTAACGGAGTAACACACAAGGGCATCGGCAGCTTCCTTTTCTTCAAATAGGTTCAGGCGGGGATTACGGGTCTTCCGAGGTCGTCCCGGTCCCAGCGCCTTAATTCTTCAATATGTGCCGCGTTAGCGATACCAGATGAACTGTAGTTATTTTTAAAGGTGAAGGATACCTTGGGAATAAAACAGCAATTATAATTGCTGTTTTATTCCCAAGGTATCCTTATCTTCAAACCGCTCCGTGAGAGAGTAATTACTTTCCCTATCACTTCCCTATACGTTTTTCTTTCTTGATTATAATATATACTGGTAGCTGGTCCCGAACGACTTGTATGTGGGTGTTCTTCTCCTGTTCGTCCCTTTCTTGGGACAGGAGTTTCTCAGGTGTCGAGGTGGCCCTCATTACCCGGGCGTCATCGCGGGAGGCAACGGCTCCCCCGGTCTTCGGTGCTGCTTTAGAAGCAGCTTGTTGGTTGATGTTGTACGTACTTCACGTCATCTAATCCGGTGTCGGGACTCTCACTCGTCCCCGGCGTCCCTGTCGCCGGGCGGTGAGCACAGAAGTTCTCGTGGGAGTGGCCGTCCGTCAGGAGGGCGCGCGTGCAGTGGCGCTAGATTGCGTAGGTGTTCAAGTGGCCCGTTGTCTGCGCGGTCGAATAACCGTCTCGCAGTACGGGCCACAAATTCTTGAATGGTTGCAATTTTAAGGTCTCGCGCTATGACGTCGTTTCTGACGTATCGGCCGGCTCCCACGATCGCCCGTAGTGCAAGATTCTGCTGGACCTGCATCTTCTTGCGCTGAGTGGCTGAGGTCAACGCGTACCAGGCTGGTGCTGCGTAGGTCAGCCGCGAGCGGACGTAGGTTTTGTAGATACCTATCTTGGTGTTCAGTGGTAATTTGGATGCCATAATTGGGTATAGTTTCGCTCGCACGGCTCTGCCCTATCTTACGACGTAGTTGACCTGCGGGGTCATGCGCAGCGAGCGATCTATATGGCATCCGAGTTAGGTGATGGTCCTCTTCCAACCTACGTCCTGCCCACGGAGTTGCAAGGTTGGTGGAGTTCTTGTCAGCCTGGTCATGAAGGCGGTGGTCTGCCCGACGTTGACCGCCATCCTCCATTTGTCCAGCCACTCAGGTAGCAGGTCCAGTAGACACTGGAACTTCTTTGCAGCTAATTCTAACCGACGAGATGACGTGAAGTAAGCAGGTGCTGTGCTATCATCTCTGCCCTCCTTTGGGCATCGTAGATGCGTTTACCCGTGTTGTCCACTAGTGGGCAGACAAATGCTGGTGTTTTCAAGAGCTCTCGGTTCAGGAGGTGTAGGGAGGCGGGTGACTCTGATCCTTCATCAACTCTTCTCTCCCATACTTCCCCCCTGAACGCTCTCACCGCTTCCGACAGCTGTTCCGTAAGTGCATTCAGCTTCCTCTTGACGAGTGGGCATCGTGTTCGTGCCCAGAGCTTGCGCAGTTTCCGCTTCTCAGATAGTTGGACTTGTATTCTATGTGGGAGTTCCTCTCTTCGGCGCCCCGTAGAGACAGGGTGTGAAGAAAGTTATAGTTTGTCTTGAATGGTCTTTGTTTAGATGTAGAGCCGCTGTCTCTACGTCTTCTTTTGTGTTGATGTTGGCGTCGAGTTTCAGTTCCTCCAGTGCTTTTTGGAATCGAATCCAATTAGTCTACATCCTTAAGGCTCTGGGCACTACGGCATCTGCACTTGTGTCGATGGTGAACAACACGGGGAGGTGCTGTGTGTCCAGATCATACAGCACCTCTAGCCGTATTGGGTACGGCATTTGATGGCACAGCACTATGTCGAGGACATCGGGCTGGTGTTCGGGTTTGGTGGGGATGTGAGTGGGGTCCTCTGGGCCCAGGACCTCGTACCCCCAATATTCAGCATCTTCGTATAGCTTCCTCCCAGGAAGGGTGATTATCACGGAGCCCCAAGCAGGATGTTTGTTGTTGAGGTCTCCAGCGATAATAGCAGGTGTTTTTGCATTGAAAATGTTCCTTATATCCTGGGGGGTGAACGAGGTGCCGGGAGGTCTGTAGGCAGCGAAAATCCTGACTTCTTTAGTTCCCACCTTTATCCTAATCCCTTTGGTCCTCGTGGATGTGAAGTTTACGTCTGTTTCCACTTCTTCGTGTATGATGTCTCTTCTAACTAGTGCCGCAGTACCTCTGTACGCGACACCTTCGGGGGACACCTCGTCATGTCGATACACGAAGAAGTTAGGAAGTTTCAGTTGGGCGGAGGGGCGCAGCTTTGTTTCTCCCAGCAGAACAATCTGGATGTTGTACCGCTGGACCAGCGTTCGGAGTTCGGCGACCTTTCCAGTGATGCCGCCGGGGTTCCAGTATAACACCGAACGATTTGTATGAAAACCAGTCTAATGGGCTATCAATAAAGCTATACTCGAGAGAGAACCGCGCCCTCTGCGCGATTTTGCAACTCAATTATACATCCAAGGTTAGCCCAATATCTTTATTTATAAAGATAGCACAAAAAAATATCTATACTATGGTATACATTACATTTTTATATCACAAAAACCTTTTATTTATTTAACAAAATATGCCTATTTTACAACATATGTACTAAATTAGAATTCTTAAATATCTAACATATAAGGTTGAAACAATGTTCTTTATTTGAAAATACAAATATCTTAACTAATACAATAGTTTAATTTACATTTTT